GTTTATATCAGATAATGAGTCAGTTAAGAAAACAAAAACTAAAAATAAAGAGAAAGAGAAAATAAACTCACTAGTTTCTCTAATAATTTTTTTGAAAAAAAATAATTTATTAAATAACACTTTCTTATATATATGTGATCTCTATGATAATTTTGATATAATAATAATGACTATCAAGTAAGAATTATAATATTTTATATATTACTTAATATGCAATTGATCGATTTCACTAATCTATATTTAATAATTTTCAAATAGTTATAATCAAGAGAATAATTTTTCAGATCATAATTTAAGTGTGGAAAATTCTAAAAAAAAATTTTGGATGAATTACTGCAAGAAGAAAACATTGAAGATCAAAGTAAAATTTTTAAAAATTTATAACAAATTTATTATTAATTTTTAGTAATTTGTATTTTTACCAAACAGATGACTTTAAATGAAGAAAGATTGTTTAATATTAATGAATGTTTTGTAGATGAAGGTATGGGCAAAATTATTAACAAAATTATTATTCTTTATTTTCAATAAATTACTTATTTTTTTATTTATTTTTACTTTTACTTCTATCGCATACAATTAGGTAAATTTCAAATGAAGAATAATTACTCTATGCTTGTAATTTTAATTACAAATTTATGTTTTTTTTTCACATAGATATCAAAAAAGATTATATCTCTTTTCTATTATATTATATTATTATTACATTGGATATATATTTTTTAAAATAAATTCTTAAATTCGTATTTTATTTTATTTTCATATTTTTATAATAGTTAATTTATTACGTATCTTTTTATGTATAAGTTATTTCGAGATTACACGATTATTTTACTTTTTATGGTATAATTTATGAATAAATAATTTTGTAATTTGATTAATATATAACTCAAAAACTGATTAAATAAATGTATACTTCATAGAAATCATTTAAATTCATTTTTTTTCAGTTTGTTTCGAAAAATTAAAAAATGTAAAGTTTTAAATCTAGCTCTATTATGAAATATAATTATATCATGTATATATATACAGCAAGTCCAAATCAGAGAATATAATTTTTCCTGACATTTTTTTTATCGTCATTGCATTTTTTATCTGAAATATTTAACCCTTAATTACTTTTTAATTCTTTCAAAATAATTTTTACCTATATTTCTTATTTAATAATTAATTTATATGTATGTCTTTTGTATTTTATAATATAAAAATTTAACTAATGCGCGCATTTTTTAAAAATCAAAGATTAAGGGACAACCGTTGTTCCTAATTAAAGTTTCTTTTTTAATGCTAAGCAAAAAATAACAAAAAAATGGAATAAAACAATTATATTAAGCATTAGAAAATGTCGCAGGTTGGAGAGTAAATCAATTGGTTAGGAAGTGGAACAATTTGGTTGATTTAAACGGACGAAATGCCTTATAGTTAATATAATAATGATTAAATTCCAAAAATATGAAAAAATACAATTAAGATTTAACACAGTATATTTCAAAATTAATCTTTCCAATATCAAATTTGGTTTTCGTTGCTTAAATGATCTCTTTTTATATTAAAAAGGGCACGTAGATTAGGAATGGGGTGGAAATTCTAGAACTTTATTTAAATAAATCGGTTGCTTCGGATGTTGTGTGTGTGCATTTTTTGGATCCCCGTTTCAAAATGTTCTAGAAGAAATTACAGATGTATCTTTTTATTCGTTAGCAATAAATAGTATAAATTGTGTAAGTAAATTGTAATAAAGTGTTTTACCATTGCAATTGCAATATAGGTCCTCTTGTTTTAGAGCAAAGACTATCCAACGTCCGTTCTTGGAAATCTACAGTAAACGGCACATAAACCTCACACACCACGATGCAATATCTAGCAAATGAAATTCCACTTGGACAACCACAAATGACGAAACCCCAACACTGTAACTGCTTCATACTAGACACAAGTTTCTCGTTCAGAACAACAAACGTTAGCAACCATAGTGTAATAACGATAACAATAATGTGACCGCAAAATACAAAAACATTAACCCCTTCGAACTAACCGCCTCCAAATCGGACGATACATCTTAATCTTTAATAATAAAACTTAAAGAATTTTCTTCAAATCTTTTTTTTTTCAATACACTTCAATACAATAAATTTGAGTAAAATATATACGTTATATAAAATATAATAAATGGACTATAAATATAAATTAACAGGTTAAAATTATTATTCTGTCACCACAAACAAATCGAATGAAATTTTTTTTTATATAATAACGAGTACTATTATGATTTTTTGATATAAAGAAATTTATCAAATACACTTGATAAGATAAATAAATTTAGTAAAATGCTAGAACGCTTAATTTTCTTCAATTGTTTTTTTTTTAATACAATAAATATAAATAAAATGATTTTTTTTTTTATTATTTTTTTGGCATTTCTATTTTATTTGACTGAAATTTTTGGCATTTCTATTTTATTTGACTGAAATTTTTGTTACAAGAAAACTCAATGGATCTAAAAAAATTATCGAATGTTTAAAATGCAAACGGAGAAGTCGTATTAATATGTCATTCACACATATGTTATTATTGTTATGCATGAATTCTCTAATTGCTAACAAACTCTGATTGTTTCATCAAAGGAACACAATCACCAAATAATATAAATACAAGTCCATATTTAATATGGGTTCCTTTGAAACGTTTAAAATGTAAAGAAAATTGGGCAAGGCGGTTTCAGTCAAATTTTTAAAACTACATGGAAATTATTGAAGATAAGTCTAAATTGCCTATGGTTACGAAAAAAAATATAATTGAATGTTATGGAGTAACGCGAGATCCACAAACAAAAGCTTATGCTTTTGTTTTGGAATACATAAAAGATAGACTTACATCATTTTATACTTAAAAAATTTGACGAAATTTCATTATTTATATTATATTGTTGGAGGAATTTTATACATCAAGATTTACATAGTGTGTTGTGTTGTTGATGGACATTAATATATCATACTTATAAATTTTATAATTTTACAATAATTTCAGATTTAGGTTTTAGTTAACAAGCAAATATTGATTAAATCTTCTCAAGTATATGGAATAATTCCGTATATGGCTCCAGAACTTTTAAAAGTCAACCATATTTCATATGCATTAGATATTTATAGTATAGGAATGATTATGTGACAATTGACATAAACCATTTAGATATACAGAAGTTACACCAGAATTCTGGTCTAATTTAATGAAAAGATGTTGGCATCCTGACCTTTTTAACGACCCAAAAAATAAAATAAATTTTTAAGTTATTAGATAGAATTAATAATTATTATAATCATTATCTTGAGGATATAATATCCATCTAAATATGATATTTGGTCAGAGGTTAAAAAAGTTGAAAATCAATGGCAAAATCAAAAATCCAGGATACAATCATTCTAATTTTATATTTTATACTTCCTTATTATTAATAATTTTTAAATAGTAAATAATTTAGAAAATTCAGACCATAATTCAAATTAATTTTTTTTTTTTTTTTAAATCCAACGGAGTCTTGCTCCAATAAACACCATAATTCAAATTAATAAAAAATTTTTATTTTTTACATTAATTTTTTTTTGTATTTTTTTGCCAAACACATGAATTTAAACGAAGAAAATTTGTTGAATATTTTAATAATTTTTTTGTAGATAAAGGTATGGATAAAATTATTATTTATTCTTGATTTTCAATAATTACTTATTTTTATTTTTTTATTTTTACTTTGACTTCTATCGCATATCGTTCTGAATACGAAATCAAATATCATTCAGATTAATGTGGTACTTGTTTAGAATATAATGAAGCGGAAAGAAAACAACTTGAAATATCGAAAAAAACCAACGGAGCCTTATTCAAGGATGTTTATTATATTGAAAAATAAATATATAATTTATAGAACAATTTATAGAACAATTAACTATAATTAACGACTCGGCCATTAACTAATGATTACGGTATTTATTATTCTAATAATTTTTTAAAATAAAATAATTCATTAAATAATAATTTCTTATATATGATTTCCATAGATCTATCCATTGATATAATTATTAATGTAATCACTAATTATCTATACTTTTTATATTTAATAATTTTCAAATAGTTCTAATCAGGAGGCTAATCAGGAGTTATAATTTAAAAAAAATTTCAACTCTGATTTAAATTCCACAGAAGTTTCCAAAAACGTTGTTTAAATGAATTATCGAAAGAAGAAGAAAGCACTGTAATATTTAAAAAAAAAATTTTTGATTATAAGAAATTTTAAAACTGACGAATCAATGTTATTGAAAATTATTGAATGTTATGCTAAGGGATGATAATCTTAAATTATTATATGGTGTGATGATATTTACTTAAACATCTTATACATAACACTTGTCCATTTTTCGAATTTTTCCTGCATATTTTAATTATTATATTATATCATTATTGTCTAGAGTTCAGTATATATTTTTCCTATATTGCTTTGTTGTTTTTTTTTTTTAATTCCTTAATTTATATTTATAGAAGTAGCCCATTCATAGTATGTGTGGAAGTTTGGTTCATGTGCTTTTAATAACAGAACAGATAGTTATTGATTTACTATTATTATTATATTATTTTGCACTGTACATATAAATATACATTAATATCAATTATTTATTAATATCAATTATTTATTAATATCAATTATTTATTTATTATCTATTATTTATTTATTATCTATTATTTATTTATTATCTATTATTTATTTATTTAATATTATTTATTTATTTAATATTATTTATTTATTTAATATTATATCATAACAATAAATAACAATAACAACAATATATAATTATATTTTAACTCAAAATAATATTTGGTACTATGATAGCACAACGCTTGGGGGAAATTAATAATGAATAATAATAATAAAAAAAGAAGCGATCGATGTACTTTTTTCATTTTTAACTGATCATACATGACCGATCATTTCGTTATTTTTGTTACTCCGCACTGACCTTGTCTATATAAGTTAAGATCATGCTTATATTTCTTTTTTGGATTTTGATCCATCTTTTTTTTTTTCTCATCGTTGCGTGAGTGTTTGCGTGAATGTTTGCTTGAATGTTTTTGTTCGAGTGTTTGCACGAGTGTTGTGCGAGTCTTGCGTAATCTTGTATAACGAATGGATGATTGTTCTCTCTATACATTTCATACCAATCATTTCAATTTTTTTTTTTTTTGTATTCACAAAATTTCGTACTAAATTATTTTTATTTTTATATGTACTAACTAATCTTTTTTCTCGATACTAATATAAATCAAATTATATTATATTAATTAAAAAGATATTCATACTAATCTTTTTTTATTATTCTCATATTATTGATTGATTTACGCTAATATCCGAAAGATTTACACAAGATCTATTCAAGTTCTATTAAATGTAACGTAACATTTATAGACGATTCTCGACGGAAACAAGACGGAAACAAGATAGAAACGAGAAACGAGATAAAAATAAGATAAAAATAAGATAAAAATAAGATAGGAAAAATAAGTTATAATAGGTTTAATGAAAATATATATATATATATATATTCTTGTTTGTTTATTGTGTATATGGAAAAAAAAACGGATTACCATATTTGATACTATTCTGTACAGTACTGTGCACACTGCACTGCACTTGTCATAAAAAACAAACAAATAAGGTTATTCTGAAACTTCAAAAACCTAAATCACATGATTTATTTTGCCATTATTTCCAGATTGAAACACTCAAATGAATTTATTACTTTAAAAAATATTATTATTTTTTTTTAATAGGTGTATGTGTGAATTATAGTTCAATGAAATTTTTTTTTATAAAGAATAAATAAATAAAGAATAGGTAGAATAAAGAATAAGATGTAATAAATGAAAAAATAAATGAAATTTAAATAATATAAAATAAAAAAGATTAAATATAATAAATAGAATAAGGAATAAAAGAAGAAACATAATAAATTGGGAATGAATTAAAAGGTTTTAAAATAAAAGACGTTTAAACGAGAACGTTTTAAAAAATAAAAATAAATTAAAAAATATATTATGGAACGTATAGATGCTCGCAAAAAACTAAAATAATCCGGCACTCATCTAGTTTTCTCGATGTGGCAAAAAATGTAATTTATTTATTATACAATTATGTAATCTACATATATATGTATGTACGTTATTGATTATTCATTCATTATTTTTTTTTTTCAATTTTCGTCTTTTTTTAAAAGGTAAAATATTAAAAATAAAATTAGGCAATAAAAATAAAAATAATAATTAATACATAACAACGATAAATATAATAATTAGGTAATTAATATATTAAATTAATTTAATATAACAGAAAAAATAATAATAATATACACTTCAGGAATTCGTTTAAATTTGATTTTCTCTCATTTTCATTTTTTTTTCTTCTTTCCCTTTTTCCCTTTTTCCCTTTCCCTCCCTGGTCCATGATTATTACAAACAAAAAAAAATTATATTTTTTTTTACATAAACATTTTTTTATATTTTTTATTATAATTATTATCATTTATTTATTCTTATCTCTTTTAGTTATCAAACTTATCTAATTTAAATTATTAATCAACGATTATTATTAATAATCAGTTTATAACAATTGATTATTATCATCAGTCGTGACAATAAATTTCTTCTCTTATTCATCATTCTATTATTCTTTACCTATTATTCCCATTATCTATTATCAATCTACTATCTATCTATTATCTATTATCCATTTTTTATAAATATATTTTCTTTACTTGCTTTCTTAATATTCATTCATTTATTATGATATATTAATTCTTTACAAAATAATAATAACATTATAATATATATACTTTTACATTTAATTTTATTTTTTTTTATTTTTTTTTGATATTATGAAAATAATAAATAGGGCAGGGAAAGTGTCATCGAGTGGACTTGATTCTGTATTATTATATTTATTCTTCTTAATATTATCGTCAACAATATCCACATCATCATCATCATCATCATCATCATCATCATCATCATCATCAATAACAACAACAACATCATCAACAGCATCATCAACAGCATCATCAACAGCATTGAAATCAATATTATCATTAAACTTACCAACAGCATCATTAACATCATCATCATCATCATCATCATCATTTTCATTTAATGAAGATAATTTCACTAACGGATTTCAAGTAATTCAAGATACAACATATGATGATGGTACAATATTACTTCGAATTCGACCTAACGAAGATATTAATTGTACCAATTCAATGATACGATTAAGATTAATTATGACCGATGGATCAATATTAAAGATTGATGTCAATAGTAATAATACTGGGAAATATCAATTATTATCGGAGAACTTTTGTCAAATTCAACCAGGAGTCTCATTTAGTTTAAATCAAAATTTAAGTAATCGAAATTCTTTAAACAATCAAATTGATACCACTTCTTCTTTGTTTACCCCGGATGGAATTAATTATTATGAAGATAGTATAAACATTTATGCCATCTCGAGAAATTATATTTTAATAACTTATTTATGTGGTAATGATACGAGATATAATGTTTGTGGAATTATTGTTGATTGGTTAGGAAATGTATTATCCTAGTAGGTATTCTCTTTTTTTTTTTTTTATGATTATTATTATAATAATTTTTAGATAAAAAAATTTTTTTTAATAATAATAATATTTATTAGAATAATTGATAATAATAATTATTATATTTTTTTTAATAATTAGTGATATACCTCTGGGAGAAAATTGTGACGACGTGAATATTGCTCAAAATTTAGATCCTCAATCCGGATTTTTATGGGTTTGTTATTTAAATGCGTCAAGTCAATTATTATGGAAGGAATTTAGTATACCGTAAGTTATTATTTATTATTAATTATTAATTATTAATTATTTGATTATTATTAATTATTATAAAATATTATTAATTAATTATTAACTATTATTATTAATTAATTATTAATCAATTATTATTTATTATTTATTATAATTTATTAATTAATTATTTATCAATTAATTAATAACTATTTATTTATTTTATCTTATTTATTATCAATTAATTAAATATTTGATGGAAAATAATAATGAATCTTAGAGATAGTGAAGGAATAATGAAAGAATTAAGAACGGGTACATTAAACAATATTCGAAATTTTAGTCCAAATTATACATCAATATTTCCATTGGAAGATGGAGGGTATGGTATAGTGACAGCTCAATTTAATGGATCAAATTTATTGTCATTGTCTTTTCCCCCATGGACAGTACTTGTAAATTTTATACCCGTCACAGGGAATGAAACTTCAGGTCCATTTCAAATCTTTAATCAAAATGATATCGCCTTAAATTCCGTAAATGTATTTGGATGTACGATCTCATTTGCATCATTCGGTTATAATTGTATCATTCATCATGTGGATATTTTTACGAGAAGGACATTTTTAAATTTAGAATTTTTAAGAAGTGGAGCATTAATTGATACCAATACGATTAATGTTTATAATAATAATGGTTTTGATATTTTGGATATGGGAGGATCAATTGTTTGGAATGCGGAAACTTTATTTAAAGGAGGATATTTAATACTTACCGAAAATGTGGTTGAACCAAATCATACGATTTCCGGTAGAGTTTTTAATAATAATGGAACTCTTCATGGTGATTGGGGAATGCCAAATACTTATAATTACACTCGACACGTTGGAATATTTCCTAATAACACTATTTGGGGAATTTCTATAAATAACTTGAGTAATACTTGGACTTTTGTTTCTAGTTTTAGTTTATCGGATTATCGAACAAGTATGTTTTATTTTATTATTTATATTATTTATTTATTATTATTTATTATTATTTTATTTATTCTATATTACTATTTATTATTATTTATTATTATCATATTTATTATTTATATTATTTATATTATTATTATTTATTATTATTATTTATTATTATTATTTATTTTTATTATTTATTATTATTTGTATTATCTATTGTATATAACTATTATTATTTTATTATATATTTATAGCTTCCGATCCTGGTGGTTATGATAACGCATTTATAAATTCCACGGATCCCAAAAAATCAGAATTTATTAATTCCAAAGATACCAAAAAAATTGTTATAAATTTTATTTCTGAAATTACTTTGTCAAATGGAAACATTTCTATATGGCAATTAAATATGTCATCATCATTAACTTCATCCACCTCCACCACAATTTCTTCATTGTATTTACCACCATCATTAATAAACTCATCATTATCATCATCATCAGAATCATCATCATTGTTATTAGATTATCCCAATTCAATTTTTTCATTATCAACCACATCAGCTATTTTAAGACAAACATTTTCGGGAATTGATGGAATTAATAATAATTTAATTAGGTTAAAGAATGGTAATTCTACAATAGAATTTGATGTCATAGAAAGTACATTTAATCAAGAAGGTGTAATTTATTTTATTACTATGGAAAATGGATTTGTGAAAGATACCGCAAGAGATCAACCATTATTAGGGATTAGACCATTGACTTGGAATTTTACTACGAGAATTATTGATGGTGATAATGTTGTCGTTAATCAAGATTCGGCCAATGCAATAATTAGATTAACTTCATCAGGTTCAAAATATTATATTTCTTTATCAACCGTGGAACAAAAATTATTCACTCAAGAATTATCCAAAGAATTATCAAACATTATACCATGTTCTGATTCGAGAATAAAAATGAATCGACATTTTCAATTTGATAAGGATACCGAGGAAACTCAAATCTTGATGAGAGTTGAAATCGATTCTCCTCCTTCAATAACGAATTCATCAAGTATTTTAAAGGAGAAAAGTTCTTTAAGTGTTATTTCCGATATGGATCTTTTAATTCGAAATAAGAGTTTTACTTTGATTTCACAACGACCGTATACAAGTTTATTAGATGAAAAATTTGGAAGTCAAGTTACACGTATGTATTTAGATATTATTATATAATTATTATCTTAATTATTATATTATTAATTATATAAACGTTAATTATTTATTTATTTATTTATTTGATAGCTGATTTGTGGGAAAAATATAAATGGATATTATTGGGATTATCTTTGGGATTATTCTTATTATTCATTTTATTATGGTTTTCATATAAGAAAAATCCAAAGGTAAATTTATTATTATATTTATTATGATAATATTTAATCTAATATTTTTTGTTATAATTATTAATGATATTATTTATTTATTTATTTATTTATTAGGCACAAAATTTCATTGTAGCCATGTATATCTTTATTTTGGTGGATTTTGTTTTAGACGTTTTATTTTTAACATATAATTCATCTGATTTGGATTGGATATTCGAAACTTTGTAAGTATTAATGAATGAATTTCTATCCGTTATATCTTATATATATTTATTTATTTATTTATTTAATCTTTTATATTATGTTCTATCTTCTAATCGTTTAATAATGATCTTCTACCATTTTCAATTAATAATAATAATGACAAATAACAACAACAACGATGTCAACAAATAATTAGCCTTTCATTCTTGATAATTCCAATCGGTTTTAATTTAATCTTTACATTTATGATAATCTCTCACGAAAATTCGAAAAAGAATAAATTTAGTAAATGGTGGTTTAATCATTCTAAAACCACATTCGCTTTCATCTTAATTTCGGGTATAGATATAGAATCTTTTAATCTCATTTCTTCGGATTTCTTTGGATTGGAAGAATTTAGTGTGAAATTTTCTAGTTCGGGAAAGAAATTTATTTTCTTGTATCGTGTGGTTAATCTTTTTTTTGAGGATTTAGCACAATTTATTATTTTGGTAATTATATTATTTTATATTATTATTATTATTATTTTATTATTGTTATATTTTTTATAATATTAATTATATATATATATTTTTTTAAAAATTATCATTATATTATTATTATATTATTATTAATATAATTATTAATTAATTTATTATAGGTAATATATCAACGAGACACGGTAGTTCCAAGTATACTACCAATACTCACATTAGCATCATGTTGCCTGATATTATTATTTAAAATTTTAAGCATAACGTATATGTCATATAAATTTTACAATCAAAGTGCATCAATTGGTCGAGAATCTTCCGAAAAATTATCCGATGCTTCCGAAGTTTCCGAAGTTAGTAGAACTTCTTATAATAACAATGGTAATAAAGAGGAGGAGGAGGTAGGAGGTGATGATGATGATATTATTGATTATAATAAAGATCTTGGTGGTAGAATAATAGGTGAAGGTGGTGTAATTTCAACAAATCCTCAAGTTCGTCCCGTTTTTAATATAAGGGATCCTACTGATGAAAGTTTAGCTCCTACCGTAAAAACCGTACCTTCAATAAAATTAGCTGATAGTATCATTGAAATTGAAGATCCACTAATGAGTGCCAAAGGTCAATTTAATATTGATGATAATAAGGATGATGATAATATAATTTTATCAGAAGAGGAAGAAAATAAAGAAAACAAAGGGAAATCAAAAATTACATCCGATATAAAAGATGTTGGAGAAAGGCAATTACCATCACCTACAAAAACACCACCACCAATAATAACTTCGACGCCAATAACAACTTCGCCTCCAGTAACTTCACCAACTAGTATAATAAGTAATAATCCCATGATTCCTACAGGTGAAGGATACACTTCAAAAATGATTGAACAATTTGATCTAACACCAACTGAAAAACAATTGATGTCGTCATCAAGAACATCGTCATCTAGTAAATCTAAGAAAGGATTATTTAGTGGTAGTAGATCAAGCAAAAAGAAAAGTAAAGATAGTAGTAGTAGTGTTGTTATCGGTGGTGAAGGTCCATCAAGAAGTTTAAGTAGTGATAAAGGTAAATCAAAAGAAATAATAACAAAAGTTAAAGAAAGTAAAGATGGTGATGATGATAAAGGAGATGATAAAGATGATGATAAGGAAGACGATGGAAAGAAAGATAATTAGGATAATAAATACACATTATACATATTATATATACATAAAATTAGATTTTTTTCTTTAATTTCGCATTTTTTAATCATATTAATTAATTTTTTATTAGTGTATTTTTAGGTTTATTTATTTATTTTTTTATTTTTTTCTTTAAAAAAAGATTTGTGTACTGCAACACAAATTTAAGGTAACACGTCATAAACAGTATATTCTCTTCTCTTTATTATACAAAAAATTTCATACCAATTCTTTTCATTTTTTCATTTTTCATTTGAATTTGTTCGTAGTGTGTGAGAATTTAAAATATACAAAATTATTAGCCATTTATTACATTTTCATAACGTATATATGTATGTTATTACAAAAAAAAAACAAAATAAAATAAATAAAACGTGACAAAAGGTTAACATAGATCATTTAAATAATAAATATAGTTAAAAGAAAAAATTAAACAAATTATATTTCTGATATTATAACGCAAATAAAAAAAGATTTAAATTTAAAACCTTACATTGAAATAAACTGAAAAAAGCACGCGAACTATAATGAATTTAAATGATTTCTGCGCTTGATTCAATTTTTAACCAAACCAAATAGAAGAATTAATCAACAATTTTTTACTTTATCAATTATTTATACAATGTACCATTGGTTTATAATAAATAAAGACGCAATTTATTTAATAAATAAATTATATAATCAAAGAGATAAGTTTATACATAAAAAGATATTTAAAAATAAAATAAGCTGTTATAAAAGATATGAAAACAAAATAAAAAAAAAAAAACTATATAATAATAAGTATATAGTATTCGTTGATAAGAAAAAATTATAATTATTTTTTATAAACTTTCAATAAATTATCAACCAATTCTTCATTCGAATTTGTCTAATTTGTCTAATTGTATGTGATAGAAGTAAAGTAAAAATAAATAAAATAATAAGTAATTTTATTGAAAATAAGAAATTAAATAATTTTATCCATACTCTCATCCACAAGACATTCATTAAAATATTCAACAATTTTTCTTCGCTTAAAATCATCTGTTTGGTAAAAACACAAATTAATAAAAAATAATAAAAATAATTTGTTATGAAATTTAAAAAATATTACTTTGATCTTCAAAGCTTTCTTGTAATAATTCATCCAAAAAATGTTTTTTAGAAATTTCCACACTTGAATTATGGTCTGAATTTTCTAAATTATTCTTTTGAATAGAACTACTTGAAAATTATAATAATAAAATAAATTAGTGGAATCGATTATTAACTAAAGTACGTATATAAAAATATGAAAATATAGAATTCTTACTTGAAATCCATTAGATCAAAATAATCATTGGAGAGTAAATTATCATTAGAGAATAGATCTATAAAGATCATTTCATGTATGAGAAATTATCATTATAATGAATTATTTCATTTTAAAAGCTATTGGAATAATTAAATACCTGATACTGTCGAATTAATAGATTCTATCATGGAATTTAATGATGTGCTATAATATCTAGAATTGGGATGCTCGTATCCTGGATTTTTTACAAATGGTTTTTTGAATTCAACCATTTCAAGTCGTTTATCTTCAGCTTTATTAAATTCTAACCATCCGTCACAACTGTATGGATAGAATTCTTTGATTTCATCTTCAGAACGCTTAGGATAAAATGAATAATCATGAAATTTATTTGATAATTCTTCAATTTCTTGTGTTGTTGGTCGTTGAGAAGGATCAGGATGCCAACATCTTTTCATTAAATTAGCCCAACATTCTGGTGTATCTTCTGTAATTTCTGGTCTTTTTCCATCTAAAATTTCTAATATAAGCCTTGGTCCATGTTCTTGATCATGGAATGGTCTATGTCCTGATGTCAATTGCCACATAATCATTCCTAAACTATAAATATCTGATGCAAATGAATATGGTTGATTTTTAAATAATTCTGGAGCCATATATGGAATTACTCCATATATTTGAGATTTTCTTGAAAAATCAGAATCAATATTTGCTGGTTGACTAAATCCTAAATCTGAAATTATTGTACTATATTCATGTTTAGCAAGAATGTTACCACTATGTAAATCTCGATGTATAATCTCTTTATCGTGAATTTTTGAAATTCCCCCGATAATATCATTTAAATAACAAATTTTACTTTTCCATGTAAATTTTTCAAAGTTTTTTTGGATATAATGATGCAAATCTCCATTTGGTATATACTCTAAAACAAAAGCATAATTTTTTGTTTGTGGATCCTGCGTTACTCCATAACATTTAATTATGTTTTCTTTATACCTATAAGACAATTTTGACCCGAACTGAAATGTATGTTTCAACTATATTTTTACAAATGCAATAAATAAATATTAATAAATTAAAATAATTAATAACATAGATAAATGATTATTACCTCATTTAAAAATTCTGTATCCACGTTCTTTGAGTTGTTTATTACTTTCAAAGCAATTTCTCTTTCTTGCCGCCTTACCGTACCATTATTACTCATACCGTCACTAATTTTCCAAGTAGCTTTAAAAATTTTACTGAAACCACCTTGTCCAATTTTCTTTACATCTTTAAACTCTTTATAAGGAACCCATTCTAAAAATCGATCCCCAATTCTATTCTTTGATGACTGTGTTCCTTTGATAAAATTATCAATGTTTATATTGCCACTGTCAACAACAATTAGAGAATTAATGCCATGACAATAATAACATATATGTGAACTATTAATACGACTTCTTCGTTTGCATTTTATACATTTGATATTTTTATCAGACCCATCAAGTTTTCTTGTATAAAAAATTTTTGTCATTTTATTCAAGTAAAATAGAAACCGGAGAACTTATGAATAGAAAAAATCTTCTAATTTAATTTATTGAAAAAATTTTTTTTTATTAAGAACATTCGAAAAACCGAAATTCTCGATTTACATGCTTGAATCCTTTTTTAGAAATAAAAGAGATCATAGAGAATAAAGAAAGAACAAAAAATTCATTCACTATGGGCCATAAAATCGAATCTTTTCATTCGAGTTTACAAATTCCCAAATTCCGAAAGGCATAAAATAATAATGATAACAAAATTATAACAATTAAAATACTTTTAAAAAAAATTAGATTTATCAGCAAACATTTATTAATTACTCGAAGGTCACGTTATCAGTTAGTTTTTTTAAATAAAAAATATCGATTACTTTATTTTCCTTGCCATCGCCATTTCGATATCACATGCGTGTTGAAACCGGGAAGGAAAGTAAATTGTAATTCAAACTCATTTAAACTTGTCTGGTGGATATTTGTTTAAGCCTATAAAATTCAGTTGATCTCCTGTGAAATCAAACAGGAGATATTCACTTAATCCCTGACTGCAGAAAAATAGACAACCGAGATTCACAAAAGCTTATTTGGTTCTGTCTTGCTCTTGGTGAACTTATGTCTTGAACAACTAAAGCATAGGGATGGACGTATTTTTGAAACGGGAACATTGTAAATAAATGCTATAGGTAAACCGATTTCTTGGCTCTCGTGTACCTTTGATGTTATCATCATTCATTAATAGTTTCTGAGGCATATACAGGCAAAGTATGCAGTCGGTGTGAGTTGATTCATAATATTTTATTTATAAGGAAATGATTAATCTGTCATTTTGAATCTATTGCAAGAGATACTTACATTTTCGTTAATATGAAATTTAAGATTTATAAAGTGCGCACAAATCGTGACACAGCAGCCCATTTGGTCTATTTTGATCAACATATTCGAATTCAGTAATTATATTCTGTGAATATCAATTTTGTCAAATTAAATTGACACTTCTCATCTCTGTATACACGGATGGAATTAATTATAGTATAAAAATTTATGCATCGAGAAATTATATTTTGATTACTTATTTATGTGGTGGAAATAATACCAGATATAATGTTTGTGAAATTATTGTCAATTGGTTATTCTTTTTTTTTTATTATTTATTTTATTTTTATTTTATTTAATATTTTATATTTAAATAATTTTTTTAATAATTAGTGATTTACCTCTAGGAGAAATTTTTGATGTTGTAAATATTGCTCAAAATTATAATCCCCAATCTGGATTTTTATGGGTTTGTTATTTAAATGCGACAAGTCAATTTTTATGAAGGAATTTAGTATACTGTAAGTTATCAATCATTATTAATAATTAATTATAAATCAATTATTATTTATTATTTATTATTTAACCATTTAACAATTAATTAATTATTTATTTTATTTTATTTATTATCAGTTAATTAAATATTTGGTGGAAATAATAATGAATCGTAGAGATAACAAATTAAATAAGATCGATTACGCTAAATAATATTCGAAATTTTAGTCCAAATCAATATTCCATTGTAAGATGGAGGATATGGTATAGTGACAGCACAATTTAATGGATCAAATTTATCGTCATTGTCTCTTCCTCATTGTCAGTACTCGTAAATTTTATACTCGTCACAGGAAATGAAACTTCGGGTCCATTTTCAAATCTTTAATCAAAACGATATCCCCTTAAATTCCGTAAATGTATTTGAATAATTTGCATCATTCGGTTATAATTGTTTCATTCATCATGTTGGATATTTTTACGAGGACGTTTGCAAATTTATAATTTTTAAGAAGTGGAGCATTGATTGATACCATCACGATTAACGTTTATAATAAGAATAATTTTGATATTTTGGATATGGGAGGATCAATTTTTTGGGATGTGGAAGATTTATTTGATACTTACCGAAAATGTAATGAACCAGATAATACGATTTCTGGTAGAGGTTTTAATAATAATGGAACTCTTCATGGTGATTAGGGAATGCCAAATATTTACAATTACACTCGACACGTTGGAGTATTTCCTAATAATACTATTTGGGGAATTGCTATAAATAACTTGAGTAATACTTGGACTTTTTAGTTTATCGGATTATCGAAGTATGTTTTGTTTTATTTTATATTATTATATTATTATTATTTATTATTATTTATTATTATTATATCATTATTATATTTTATTATTTATATTATTTATAATTATTTATTATTATTATTATTATTTTATTATTATTTATTATCTATTGTATATAATAACTATTATTATTTTATATGTACTGTACAGTATATATAGCTTCAGATCTTGGTGGTTATGATAACGCATTTATAAATTCCACGGATCCCAAAAAAATCCAAATTTTAATTCCAAAGATACCAAAAAATTGTTATAAATTTTATTTCTGAAATTACTTTGCCAAATGGAAATGTTTCTATATGGAAATTAGATATGTCATCATCATTAACTTCATCCACTTCCACCACAATTTCTTCATTGTGTCTACCACTATCATTAATAAACTCATCATCATCATTATTATTAGGTTATCCCAATTCAATTTTTTCATTATCAACCACATCAGCTATTTTAAGACAAACTTTTTCCGGAATTGTTGGAATTAATAATAATTTAATTAGGTTAAAGAATGATAATTATACAAAAAAATTTTGGTCATAGAAAGTACATTTGATCATGAAGGTGTAATTTATTTTGTTACTATGGAAAATGAATTTGTGAAAAGATACCACAAGAGATCAACCATTATTAGGGATTAGACCATTGACTTGGAATTTTACTAAGAATTATTGATGGTGATAATGTTGTTGTTAATCAAGATTCGGCCAATGCAATAATTAGATTAACTTCATCAGGTTCAAAATTTTATATTTCTTTACCAACCTTGGAACAAAAATTATTCACTCAAGAATTATCCAAAGAATTATCAAACATTATACCATGTTCTGATTCGAGAATAAAAATGAATCGACATTTTCAATTTGATAAGGATACCGAGGAAACTCAAATCTTGGTGAGAGTTGAAATCGGTTCCCCTCCTTTAATAACGAATTCCTCAAGTATTTTAAAGGAGAAAAGATCTTATTATTGTATTTATTATTATTATATTTAATCTAATATTTTTTGTTATTATTATTATTATTTATTTAGGCACAAAATTTCATAGTAGCCATGTATATCTTTATTTTGGTGGATTTTGTTTTGGACGCTTTGTTTTTAACATCTGATTTGGATTTGTTATTTGAAACTTTGTAAGTATTAATGAATGAATTTCTATCATTTATATCTTTTATATATATTTAATCTTTTCTATTATGTTCAATCTTCTAACCATTTACTCCCATTTTCAATTAATAACAACAACAACGTCAAGAAATGACCAGCCTTTCATAATAATTCCAATCGGTTTTAATTTGATCTTTACAATTCTGATAATTTCTCACGAAACTTCGAAAAAGAATAAATTTAGTAAATGATGGTTTAAGCATTCTAAAACCACATTCGTTTTCATCTTAATTTCGGGTATAGATGTGGAATCTTTTATTCTCATTTCTTCGTATTTCTTTGGATTGGAAGAATTTAGTGTGAAATTTTCTAGTTCGGGAAAGAAATTGATTTTCTTGTATCGTGTGGTTAATCTTTTTTTTTAAGGATTTAGCACAATTTATTATTTTGGTAATTATATTATTTATATTATTATTTATTATTGTTGTATTTTTTTTATAATATTATTATCTTTTTTTTGATATTATCGTTATATTATTATTAATATAATTACTAAAATAATTATTATAGGCAATATATCAAGGAGACACAGTAGTTCTAAGTATACTATCAATACTCACATTAGCATCATGTTGCCTGGTATTATTATTTAAAATTTTAAGCATAACGCATTTATCATATTAAATTTACTATCAAAGTGCATCAATTGGTCAAGAATCTTCCGAAAAATTATAATAACAATGGTAATAAAGGAGATAGAAGGTGATGACGATGATATTATTGATTATAATAAAGATCTTGGTGGTGGAATAATAGGTGAAGGTGATGTAATTTCAACAAATCCTCAAGGTCGTCCCGTTTTTAATGTAAGGGTTCTACTGATGAAAGTTTAGCTCCTACCGTAAAACTGTACCTTCAATAAAGTTAGCTGATAGTATCATTGAAATTGAAGATCCTCTGATGAGTGCCAAAGGTCAATTTAATATTGATGATAATGAAGAAGAAGAAAATGAAGAAAACAAAGGGAAATCAAAAAAGTGCACCGGATATAAAATATGTAAGAGAAGGACAATTACCATCACCCACAAAATACCACCACCAATAATAACTTTGACGCCAATAACAACTTCGCCTCCAGCCCAGCAACTTGACCAACTAGTATAATAAGTAATAATCCCTTGATTCCTACAAGTGAAGTATACACTTCAAAAATGATTGAATAATTTGATCTAACACCTGAAGAACAATTGATTTCATCAAAAATATCATAATCTAGTAAATCTAAGAAAGGATTATTTAGTGATAGTAAAAGTAAAGATAGTAGTAGTAGCGTTGTTATTGGTAAAAGTGGTGAAGGTCCATCAGGAGTGATAAAGGTGAATCAAAAAGAAATAATAAAAAGATAAAGATGATAAAGAAGATGATAAGGAAGACGATGTAAAGAAAGATAATTAGAATAATAAATACATATAATACATATTATATACATAAATTAAGATTTTTTCTTTAATTTCGGATTTTTAATCATATTAATTATTTATTTATTCATGTATTTTTAGTTTTTGTTTATTTATTTTTTTTTATTTTTTCTTTAAAAAAAAGATTTGTGTACTTAAACACACAAATTAGTTTGTTTGCTTAAAATAAAATTTTATAATTACATAAAATAAAATTAATAACATTACCAAAACGCATTCGTGATTCAATAAATTACATAGAAATCATAAAGAATTATGCAAAAACTGAAATAAAAAAAAAAGGATAAATCTGTGGTAAGATATTTTGCTTTACAATTATGCACAATACACGTAAAATAATTTTTTGCATTAGTAGAAACATATTAAACACCTCTCTGACCAATAAATATAAATTTTGATAATTTAATGGATAAATAGGGATTTTTCACATCCTCTTATTATCATTATTAAATGCATATAAGTATTTAGGATTTCTAAATTGTACGATATACTAAAAATTCAAGATAAAATGTCCTGACCCGAATTCTTTTTAATTTGTTTCGAGACTTGAAATAATACAATAATTTAAAACCTAACCTGTTAAATTTTATATACAGTATAATTTGAGTACAAAATGTATATTAATATAGATAAAAAAAATTTTAAAAGTTAATCCATCCGACATGTTTTTTAAAATTAACAAATTATATTAATTATAATTATGTATTATTATAATGCAAATAAAATAGAGCTAGATTTTAAAACCTTACATTTTATAATTTATTGAATTTAAATGATATGATTTCTATAAAATGTATAATAATTGCTTCCTTTAATTGAATTTTTAAGTCAAAAATTCTACAATTTTTTTCTTTATAAAATAATAAAATTACAAAATTATTTATGCTAATTATTTGGTAGGATATCAATGACCTGTGGGATTTTCTTCCAGGCTTTGCTGTATAACTATACTATACCAATTAGGTGTCTAAAATTATATATAGCATTTTCTTGGGAAATAATAAATCTGTCAATTTGGTTAATTGTAAACACATCACATCATCTTCATTATATATAAAGTAGGCACAGAATCTTGACAAAGCAGCATATTTTAGTAACCTATAAACAGGGACAAGGTTAACATAAAAATTACAGTTAATACATTATAATAATTAATATAAAATAAAACAAGTAGAGTACACTAATTTTTATCTAGTATTTACAAATTTCTCAACCCTTCATCGTTGTGTCATTATTTTTGATCAAAATTCCGCAAAATTTTAACCATCAACATCATTTAATTAACAGATTTCAAGAAATGATATTGTATCAATTCAGATACGATTAATCAATATTAAAGATATTGTATGTTAATTAATAATAATAATAATAATACCAATCAAATTAAACCTGGAATCGTATTTAGTTCTTAATAATCAGAATTATTTGAATAATCAAGTTGATACTTCCTCTTCTTTGTATATCACGAATGGAGTTGATAATTATGCCATATCGAAAAATTATATTTTATAACTTATTTTATGGGTGTTAAAAATAATTCTGGTACTTTAAATAATACGAGATGTAATGCTTGCGGAATAATTGTTGATTGGTTAGGAAATTTATTATCCTAGTAGATATTCTTTTTTTTATTATTTTATTATTATTTTATTTTATTTAATAATTTATATTTAGATAATTTTTTTAATAAAAATAATATTTCTTAATATTAGTGATTTACCTCTTGGAGAAAATTGGGGACTTAAATATTGCTCGAAATTTTAAATCCTCAATCTGGATTTTTATGGGACAAGCCAATTATGAAAGAAATTATCAATCGATTATTTATTTATTTATCTTATTTGTTATTAATTAATTAATTATTGGTAGGAAATAATTGCAGAGAATAATAAAAGAATTAAGATCGGGTTCACTAAAAAATTTTATTCCAAACTATACATCAATATTGGTATAGTGACGGCTCAATATAATATGGCAAATATATTGACATTTCATTACTGCATAATTCTCCATGGATATTTTATACCCGTCACAGGAAAAGAAACTTTAGATCATTTCAAATATTTAATCAAACGAGATCATCTTATTTTCATTACATTAAATGTAATTATTATAATTGTATTATCTATCAAGTGGATATTTGTGGGAGAAAGACTAGAATTTTAAGAAGTGGGAGCAATGATTAATACCAACACGATTAATGTTTACAGTATTAATGATAATTTGGATTTGGGAGTTTGGGATACGGAAACTTTATTTAAAGGTGGACATTTGATACCTACCGAAAATGTGATTGAATCAAATCAAACAATTTCCATTCCATTGTTTACATTATCGCTGTCGCTGCCTTCCTTAATTTCGACATTAGTGTTGTCGCTACTCTGCAGAAAAGTAATAAATTTTTACATGCATTAACAATTGATAAAAGCATAAATCAGAAAATAAATTCTGTTTTCCCCTATTTCTGACAAACGTGCTTAATTTCCAGTGTACTTCTACATTGTCTTATGAATTTCATTTCAAATTGACCTCTATCAGATATAAACTATCGCTTTTTTCTCTGCTATCCATACTTCCCAATTTGAATTGCACTATTTAATGAAGAAAGTATATGTTAGAGGTATAAATACTTTATATACTTGAAGCAAAGCATTATTTGATCATTTTCATTAACAGTTTCTTTGAGATTTTTGTCCCGGGATCTTGTGTGCGAACTACTCATAATTGATATCTCATGAGTAACATTTTGTTTAATTAAAGTCAATTAAAAACTGAAATGTGCTGTTGTTACTCAACATGATTTACCATCACTGGCTTCCGGTATATCTATGTTAACACAGATATGTCATTCATTTCATTCATAAAGATACTTAAAGAAAATGCAATAATATTACATCAAAACAAATATAGGTAAAATGTGAGGTATATTTTGTTGCGAAACTCATGATTTTCATCAATTTTTTTAGACCCTATATTTATATTTGATGCAATTGCTAGCCGTTTTGTATTTTCTTGAAGCATATTCGAATTAGGCAGGTTTTATACCTTTTTTTCTTCCTCATAATTTACAACAGATTTGTTAAGAACAAAGATGTAACCGTGGTAGACTGTCTTGCTCTAGTAACATCATCAAGGGATGGCCGGCTGTTGTGTAAACAACAGTACACTTTCATTGATTGATTTTAATTAAAAAATATGTACTAAACTTTCTTTTGTTAAAATCTTCATTTATCAAGACACGAGTATGACATCTTCTTTGGTGGAAATGAAAAAAATGCCACATAGATTGGATTATTTCGTGTAATAATTTTACTTCTATAGAATTCTTTTGCCGGATTTTACTAATATAAAAAATTTTGTGTGTCTAAAGAATAAAATTTGCTCTCGATCAGGCTATAAAATGCTGTGAGGATCCAATTAAGCAGCTGGAACTAAAAAAAATAATAAATAGAAACAGCTGATGCACACAATCAAATTTGTTATTCTTTGAACATACAGAATACAGTAATTCTAACATATACACTTTTCACTAAATAGTGTTTCGCGAACTAGGATGTTAGTTGATGGGAAAAAAAAGGATGTTCCATCACAAAATATTCAACAAAGTACGTGGCTAACTATCAAATTTTATATCTGATAGATCCGAGTTTGCAATAAGATTGAAATTTAAGTTACATATTGATTATTTGAAGTAGCCTCCTCAAAGATTGGATAGAAATTCCTAATTTTGTTTTTTTTTGTGACTCAATGAAATGGGAAAATTTTCAAAGCAAAAAACTTATAGGTTTAAAATAATTCAATTGAAAATCTGGTGCAGGTCATTATTAGTTTTATTTCTTTCGTTTTTATATGTGAATTTAGCCCATTTATTATTATATTTATATAATGTATTTTTTGTTGCAAAAATAAATAACTAAATAAATAAAACGTGTAAACTAATTAAATTAAAATTCAAAAGATATATTTCTGATATATATAAGTGATATAATTATATATTATATTGCAATAAAAAGGATTTAGATTTAAGACTTTGCATCGAAACAAATTGAAAAAAAGCACTAATGAATTTAAAGATTCTCCAAAGTAATTTAAATTGAATTTTTTTAACGATATTTAGCACAATATAATAATGAGTCTGTATCACTTCAGACGCCTTTGTGACGAAACTATTCCTTTTTCATTAAAAAAAATTCCCTTTATGGGTTAGTGACATTGTTATTTGGATCACAATTTTACATATTTATTGATTTTATCATTCATTTTTATTATTAACATCACTATTATGTCTGTCTGTTAAAATAGGTGATTAATTATTATGAAAATATAAGTATTAATTTTTTGTCATTGATGATTAGTAATAATAAAATTGATAATGAAAAAGACGTCATTAATTATTAATCAATAATAACCAAAGAAACTTTTATTTTTACGTATCTTTTTATGTTTAAAAATATGAAAATAAATTTTTAATTTAAAGAAATATATATCTAAGAAAAATAATATAATTAGGAAACGGTGAGTCCAGAGATATTTGAGGGCGACATAAATTTTTGACCAATAATAAGTGCATCAACTACCACATGTACAGTATAACCACTAAATAATGTCCCAGGGCAAAAATATTTGTATAATTCATCTAATTAAAAAAAATGATAAGTAATTTATTGAAAATAAAAAATAATAATTATTATTATCAATTTTTATCCAGACCTTCATCTACGAAACATTCATTAAAATATTCAAAACATTTTCTTCGTTTAAAGTCATCTGTTTGGTAAAAATACAAATTAATAAATAATAATCAAATAATTAAATTTTTTATAAAATATAAAAAATATTACTTTGATCTTCAATGTTTTCTTCTTGCAGTAATTCTTTCAAATAATGTTTATTAGAATTTTTCGTACTTGAATTATGGTCTGAATTTTCAATACTATTCTTTTGATTAAAACTATTTGAAAATCATTAATAATAAAATAAATTAATGAAATCGTTTGAATACTGAAGTATATATAAATATATAAAATAATTCTTACTTGAAATCCATTAGATCAAAATAATCATTGGAGAGTAAATTATCATTAGAGAATAGATCTACAGAAATCATGTATAAAAAATTATCATTATAATGAATTATTTCATTTTAAAAGCTATTGGAAAAATTAAATACCTGATACTGTCGGATTTATAGATTCTAACATGGAATTTAATGATGTGCTATAATATTTAGAATTGGGATGCTCATATCCTGGATTTTTTACAAATGGTTTTTTGGATTTGATCATTTCAAGTCGTTTTTTTTCGGCTTTATTAAATTCTAACGCAATTTCACAGCGATTTAGATAATCTTTAATGATTATGGTTTGATCCTCAAAATAACAGTAACAAGAATTAATTAAATCTAATATTTTAATAATTTCTTGTATTGATGGTCGTTCAGAAGGATCATGACTCCAACATTTTTTCATTAACTCTTTGTATAATGCTGGTGTATCATCTGTAATTTCTGGTCTTTTTCCATCTAAAATATCTAATATAAGGTTAGGTCCATGTTCTTGATCATGAAATGGTCTATGTCCTGATGTTAATTGCCACATAATCATTCCTAAACTATAAATATCTGATGCATGTGAATACGGTTTATATTTAAATAATTCTGGAGCCATATATGGAATTATTCCATATATTTGAGATTCTCTTGAAAGATTTGATTCAATATTTGCTGGTTGACTAAATCCTAAATCTGAAATAACTGTATTATTATGTTCGTGCATATTTATATCATTGATATTCTTACTAGCAAGAATGTTACCACTATGTAAATCTCGATGTATGATTTTCTTATCATGGATTTTTTCAATTCCGTTAACAATACTAATTAAATAACAAATTTTACTTTTCCATGTAAGTTTTTCGAAGTTTTTATGTATAAAATGATGCAAATCTCCATCTGGTATATATTCTAAAACAAAAGCATAATTTTTTGTTTGTGGATCCCGCGTTACTCCATAACATTTAATTATGTTTTCTTTGTCTTTGCCCCTATAAGACAACTTTGACCCGAACTGAAATGTATGTTTCAACTACATTTTTACAAATCAATAAATGATTATTAATAAATTAAAATAATTTATAACAATAAATAAATGATTATTACCTCGTTTAAAAATTCCGTGTCCACATTCTGAGAGTTATTTAATACTTTCAAAACAATTTCTCGTTTTGATGATCGCTTAACAGTACCTTTATCACTTATACCTTTATTAATTTTCCAAGTAGCTTTAAAAATTTGACTGAAACCACCTTGCCCAATTTTCTCTACATCTTTAAACTCTTCGAAAGGAGCCCATATCAAATGTGGATCACCAGTTCTATTATTTGGTGATTGTGTTTCTTTGATGAAACGATCAATGTTTATATTTCCACTGTTAGAAATTAGAGAATCCATGCCATAACAATAATAACATATATGTGAACTATTAATACGACTTCTACGCTTGCATTTTATACATTTAATATTTTCATAAGACCCATCAAATTTTCTTGAAACAAAAATTTTTGTCATTTTATTCAAATAAAATAGAAACGGAAGAACTTATTAATGGTAGGTGATCCAAAAAATTCTCCTATTTACATTTATTAAAAAAAAATTTAAAGAATTCATTTATAAGAAATTATGTTCATTTATCGTCATGCATTTTAGGATTTCATGATTTTTCGAAAGTTTTAAACGAAATTCCCGATTTAGAAATAAATCTCTGCACTGTAACTTACTTTTCACCAGATTCCAAGAGTCATATAATAATATTATCAAAATAATATCACATAGTGTTTATAAATAAAAAATTTCGATAGTTTTTTAAAAATAAGAAATATGGGTGCACAATCTCATATAAGCGCAAGCAATCCAGCTTCAAATGAGAATTTTCATCAATCAAACAACCAATCTTATTTGCCGAATTCAAATAGTAATCCCTTTATGGATTAAATCATGAGATGGAAATGGGAATTTTGTCCACGAGGGAGAATTCTATCCTAGTATAAATTTCCTTTTTTAGATTTGCCATATGTACATAAAGCAATGATTGATTACAAATAAAAAAATAGACAGATCATCGCCATTTGTTTGTTTACATTTTAACTTGATATTCACTTAACCCATGACCATGACTGCGGAGAAATTGACAATCAAGATTCGCAAAAGATTATTCTGCTCTTTGTAACCTTCTTAAACAACTAACGCTTAGGCACAGATACCTTATAAATGAATGCCATAGGAAAAATATTTCCTGGTTCTCGTGTAACCTCGACGTTATTCGTAGTGTCTGAGGCGTATACAAGCAAAACATATAATTGGCGTGGATTGATTCATAAGAAAGTAGAAGGAGAAAGGTGTTTAAATGTGGAATGTAATCTATTATTGATGGGGATATCAATGGGTCTGTAGAATTTTTATCCAACTATGCTTATTGGTATCTATAGTTGACTATAACTATAGATGTCTGATTCAATCCATCTGAGGAAAACATTATATATAGTATTATCTTGGGAAATAATTAATCTGTCATTTGAGTACATAACAAACACATGAATTGTACTCTATTACAAGAGGAGACATCAAAGTACTACATTTTCATTTATATACATAGTATTCTTTATTATAAAGTTGAAAGGTATGTAATTCGGTGATTTATGAAATTTATTAAAGATTTATAAAGTGTACACAAAATCATGACGCAACATAACATTGATACATTGTAACTTTATTTTTATCAACTCATCGTGTCGTATTTGATCAACGTATTATCATCATTGTCTCATTTCGCATTTTCGTCTAAATTTTTCAAAAAAAAAAAAATATTAAACAACAATAATAATAATAACCATTAACATCATCACATCAACAACAACATCGAGATCAATATTATTATCAAATAATTTATTAATAGCATTACCATCAACACTATTATCTTCATCATCATTTTCAATTAATGAAGATTAATTCATTAATGGATTTCAAGTGATGATGATGATATCAATTGTACCAATTCAATTATACGATTAAGATTAATTACAACTGACGGATCAATATTAAAGATAGACGTTAGGAGTGATAATGCCGGTGAATAAATATAAATAAAATAAATATAAATAAAATAAATAAAATGAATTGAATAAATAAAATAAATAAAATAAATAGAATAAATAGAATAAATAAAATAAAAAATAAATTTACCTTTGTTGTAATGTTGTATTCTTTAATTGTATTAAAAAAAATTAGCAGTATTTTCTCCAGAATGAGGACCATCTAATTTTTAGAATCATTTTTTTTTAATTTCCAATCTTTATGATGTTTAATTTTTGGAAGTCCATCCATCGAGGTAAAAGAACTATGTCAGGAGTTTCTTGCAATTCATTTTTAATTTTTTTTTTTTGTTCATTTTCAAAAGATTTGGAGACATTATTTAGTATAGCATTACCAGTAGGTAATTTGGCTTCTGAATTTAATCTTTTTATCATATTTTTTGAAAAAATTGCTTCAACCACAGTAAAGGGTTGGCCATCTGAAGCAATCCAATGAATAAGATCATTTTGCCAAGTTTCTTGTGAAAATTCTATTATTATTAATTTAAATATTAATTTAATTTAAATATTTAAAAAAAAATTTAAAAAAATTTAATATAATATTTTATATACCAAAGTTTTATCTGATTTGACATATTTATCCAATACTCCAGATATTGCAACTTTTCATAATTTTTTTGCAATAACAATTGAAATGACTTCTCAAAGTTGAAGTAAAACCATCTGTTGGGACTTTGTAACTTTTACTAAAATAAATGAAGAATTATTAATATTATTAAATGGTTTTCATCTTCAAAATTATTTTTTCCTACACTTACACGCAATGATTACATTTATATTTATCTATGCTAAAAGTAAGTGAAATAAAAGGTGAGGGAAACCAATTCCTAACGACTCCAGGGTTCGGTATTATCTCTACATTTAGTGAGAGGTTACTTATTAATGGCAATATATCTGTGCGATATATTTATAAATTGTATTAATCAATTCAACTAACTAATCATTAAAACAAGAAAAATGGTTCTTATATCGAATATTAAAAATTTTTTTTTTGGATATTGGTATTGAATATAGGAATAATAATCAAACCAAAATATCCAATTCATCAGGAACTATCATATCAACCAGTACAATAAGAACTATGATATATTATTCTAAGTAAAGTCCGAATTTTCACTATATACCATGAAAAGTAGTTCTAATTATAGTTGTATAGTTTAAATATTGTTTCTGGCTACAATTCGATTAGGATAGTTGTCATCTATCTTTAATATCTTTCGAATCCGATATGAGTAACGTTAAAAGATAAATTATTATTTTTGGTCAACTTTAATTGACGTGTAATTTCTCAACATATAGATATTCCAATTTTACAAAAATATATCATATTATGGCCCTAATGTGGGGGATCTAATAAAAAAACTTTATTTAGATTACTCGTTGTGTCACAATTACATTTTTAATTTTAGGAATTTTTTTATTTTTAAATAATAGAAAAAAAGCTAAACACCACAATCCTTGTTTAACAATGAGGTACTGTACATACGATCTCATCTTCTTCATTCGGTTGTAATTGTATTATTTATCAAGTAGATATGTATTTATGGGAGAAAGACTGTTTTAAATCTAGAATTCTTAAGAAATGAAAATGATTAATACCAACACGATTAATGTTTACAATAATAATAATTTTGGGATGATTAATTGTCTGAATACAAAAACTTTATTTAAAGGCGGATATTGATGTTTGCTGAAAATGTGATTGAATCAAATTACGCAATTTCCGGTAGAATTATGGGTAATTGGGGGATGCCAAATATTTATAATTACACTCGACACGTTGGAAATAATGCTATTTGGGATTGTTATAACTTGAATAATACTTGGACCTTTGTTTCTTTTAGTTTATTAGATTATCAAACAAGTATGATTACAATTATTATTATAGATCCTGGTGGTTACAATAACGCATTTATAAATTCACGGAACCCAAAAAATCAGAATTTATTAATTCTAAAGATATCAAAAAATAATTATAAATTTTATTTCTGAAATTACTTTGTCAAATGGATGAAATGTTAATTATTACGTCACCGTCTATATAATCATCACATCATCATCCTCATTATCCTCATCATCCTCATTATTCTCATCATCCTCATCATCATTATCATCAGATCAGATTATCCTCTTAATTCAATTTTTTCATTATCAACACTATTTTAAACAACATTTTCAGGAATCGATGGAATTAATAATAATTTTTTTAGATTAAGAATAATTATCCAAAAGAGCTTGATGTCATAGAAAGTACATGTAATCAAGAAGGTGTAATTTATTGGAAATAATGATCCAAATGATCAGCGGTATTATTATTATTATATTATAGGTAATATAATTATTATTGATTAATTAATCAATTATAGGTAATATATCAACGAGACACGGTAGTTCCAAGTATAATGCCGAACCGATACTCGCATTAACATCATATTATTGTTTAAACTTTTAAGCATAACATTATAATCAAAAATGCAAAAATTATCCGATTCCGATATTTCCGAAGTTTCCGAAATCAGTAGAACTTTCTTACAACAATGATGATGATAATTTCTGTAATAAAGAAGACGAAGGAGAAGAAGAAGCAGATAGGTGAGATGATGAGGATGATAATATTGATTATAATAAAGATCATGGATTGATAGGTGAAGGGTGTAAGAACCTACTGATGAAAGTTTAGTTCCTACCGTAAAAACTGTACCTTCAATGGATAAATTAATTAATTGATAGTATCACTGAATTTGTAGTTCTTCTAATGATGATGGTGAAAGTTATTAGAAGAGGGAAATTAAATAAAAAATGTTAGAGGACAATTATCATCAATGATAAAAATAACACCACCAATAATAACTTTGACGCCTATAACAACTTCACTTATAGAAACTTCATCAACTGGTATAATAAGTAATAATCCTTTTATTCCTACAAGTGAAGGTTGCATTTCAAAAATGATTGAAAAATTTTATCTAACTCCTTCCGAAAAACAATTAATGTTGTCAAAAATCATCATCTAATAGATCTATATCATTAAAGAAATGATTATTTAGTGGTAGTAAATCAATAAAAAATAAAAATAAAAATAGAATTGTTGTGGTAAAAGTGGTAATATTGGTGATACTGGTGACATTGGTCATATTGGCGTCCTCAGGAAGCTTGAGTAGTGATAAAGATAACTTAAGAGAAATAATATCAAAAACAACAAAAAAGTAAAGAAGTTGATAAAGAATATGAAAATATAGTTAAAATAATAAATAAACCTTATACATATTATATTATATATGTATATATAATTAGATTTAATTTCACATTTTTAATCATTTTAATTAATTATTTATTCGGGTATCTTTAGTTTTATTTATTTTTATTTTTGATTTGAAAAAAATTTGTCTACTACACATCATAAGCAGTACCTTACATCTTCTCTTATCTTTGCTATATAAAAAATCTCACGTTGTGATATGTTGATATGTGTGAATTTAAAATAATATGCAAAATTATTAGCCCATTTATTATATTTTACATAACATACATAATTATTACAAAATCAAACGTGTAAATGAAGTAAATTAAATACAAAAAATATATTCAAATAATAAATATAGATAAGAAAATTTAGACAATTATTTCTTATATATACCATATATAATTATAATGATTTAAAACTTTACATTAAAACAAACTGCGAACTATATTTAATGAATTTAAATGATACAATAATTTATAAAAGATATGAAAATAAAATAAAATAAATTCGAATTTAAAGAATTTGCTATAAAAAATATAAAATAGAAAAGATACTATTATTTATAAAATCACTAAATCTTTATTCTAATTGCGTGCGATCGAAATAAAAGTAAAAAAAAAAAAAAAGTAATTTATTGAAAATAAAAAATAATAATTTTTATTATCAATTTTTATCCAGACCTTCATCTACGAAACATTCATTAAAATATTCAAAACATTTTCTTCGTTTAAAGTCATCTGTTTGGTAAAAATACAAATTAATAAATAATAATCAAATAATTAAATTTTTTATAAAATATAAAAAATATTACTTTGATCTTCAATGTTTTCTTCTTGCAGTAATTCTTTCAAATAATGTTTATTAGAATTTTTCGTACTTGAATTATGGTCTGAATTTTCAATACTATTCTTTTGATTAAAACTATTTGAAAATCATTATAATAAATAAATTAGTGAAATCGATTGAAAACTGAAGAATATTAAATATAATATAATTCTTACTTGAAATCCATCATATCAATATAATCATTGGAGAGTAAATTATCATTAGAGAATAGATCTATAGAAATCATGTATAAAAAATTATCATTATAATGAATTATTTCATTTTAAAAGTTATTTAAACCAATAAGTACCAGATATTGTTGAATTAATAGATTCTAACATGGAATTTAATGATCTGCTATAATATTTAGAATTGGGATTCTCATATCCTGGATTTTTTACAAATGGTTTTTTGGATTTGATCATTTCAAGTCGTTTTTTTTCGGCTTTATTAAATT